CGTTAGTTCGAATACAGGATATTTCTGCTTAAAGCGCGGTGGTCGTCGCGCAGCGCGTGTTCGAATTTCATGTAAATAAACAATGTATTTTACACGCGTTGTATACGTCGTATGAGTCCCATATCGAAGAGAACGCGGCGCGACGACTGCCGCCCTTTAAAATATGTCCCATTTTTAAGTAGTGAGGGGAGAGAAACGTTGTGTTCTCCGCTTGAAGCATTTCAGAACAACCCAGTTCCGAAAAACAGTCCTCTGCTAGTAAATTGGTACTGTTTGGAACAAAAAAGAGTACATTCCCAGTCATCTATCATGTCATTGTTACATGTTCCTGTCTTCAGTGCAAGCTTATCGCAAAGAGTAGCGGATTACCGCGGAATGTCTTGAACTTACACTCATCCCAGATCTGTAATTGGGTTCTTTGCCAGTTTATCTGTATATTAAATAAATAAATAAACAAAACGTTGGGAAACTTAATTTCATTTCACGAACCCTGTGCTCTTCCGAGGTGTCAGTGGCTCTTCCCTGAGACGATTATTGCCGCCCTCTAGCGGTGAACTTCCGACAGTGTGTCATGACATGCGATAAGAGAGCAAGGAGTGAGTTACCCAGTTACGTCTGAGGATGCGGACGAAAAACTTGTGAAATTCGTCTGCTTGTTTGAGCACATATAGTAGGCAGTAGGTTGTACAACTGGTAGTATCAAAAAAAGCTTTCCAGTACGAGCTGTATGAATGGCGGAACGGTCAGAGTACAAACGTACAACTTGGAAGCCATGCAGTTTGTCTTCACGGTCTAACCAAGAGCAAGGTAAACATTGTGGTTTCAAGGGCACCGGTACATTCATTTTGTGGGCGTCTACGTAAGATCCTGATCGTCAAAACAAGAGGTTGCGTTCTGATTGGTCCTGGGCGTCGTCCGCCAGTGTATACGGCAGCGTCTGTGTACACTGGAAGACGAAGCTCACGAACTTGCCTTCGCCCAAATGACGCGAAACCACTGCTGTGGTTGAATGGCTTGTGGATGTGACCACAGATTTAGTGATGCGTGGTTACAGAAATATAATTTTTGATAAGTATAGAATCGAGCGTAATGTTCCACATTTATTACCTGTGGAGAATCTGATGCTTTTGTGCCTTCACAATGGACACTACCAGTAAATCTGAGCAAGGGCGTTCAAAATGACATGGATGAAAGGAATGTAGAACAAAACCGTTCCCATTGCATATTCTAGTATTACCCCCGTTATTTGTACAATGCAATGGTTTTGATCATGGATCGGTTGACGGAATATTAGGCAATACACGTTTTAGATATTATCGATTGACCCCCTTATGTGTTTTAACTTTTTAGTATATTGCCCGTTGAACACTCCTGACATGATACCAGTATATAGGGACCATAATTCATTTGAAAGCTAAATATATAATGTTAAACATAGGTTTGGGTGACGCCCTAAAATTCTTTTGTTAGGTTTGACCTTTGTGGGACGCCTAAATTAGAGGGATGCCTAAATTAGAGGGATGCCTAAATTAGAGTACATACGGTAGATATATGTTTTTTGACCCACCTTAATTTGGTGTTCAGAATTTTGAACATGGGGAATAAATTATATTGCGTGATAGTGTCAATAAATGTTACATATATCACTTTTGATTGGCCAATCTAATTTTATCGTTGCCAAGGTCTTTTAGATCAAGTATGAAAAAAACATGTATCCATTCATGGCTTGCAGTCATTATCTTTATTTATACAGTCAGTCGGTTTTAAGGCCAAATTTGATAAAATTACTTTGCCATATAGGAAAAACATACTGGAATATCTATATTGTACAAGGATATTGCAAACTTATTTGGACACCAAAACAATATTCTTCAGCACATGAATGAATTTCAAAGCTTATACATAGCAGGAATTCTGTCCATAACTCATTGTCACAAACATACTAAAGTCAATGGAGAATAAAAACAGAATCAGTTGGCAATGTTTTTATTAGCTGGGTTTATTTTTGCTTATGTTTATTTCTCTGATAGCAAAATGCACAAAACTAAATCCAGTAAATATTAAAATCTATCTATTTGTATTTTTTTTTCATATTCTTCATATATGTATTGTTTTCTTCAACACTGCATGCATTGAAAAACCTAATGATCATCCCTGCAGCATCAAATCAGAAAAAATTAAACCTAGGGAATATTTCTTCATGTACAGTATGATTATGAAGGCATGTAAGAAATTGTATTGACCCACCTCAATTTATAATTTAAAACTTATAATACAGGGATTAGCTTTGAGTACAAAAGTGTAAATAATAGTTAAATATTGCTGTTAAATTTCATTGAATAAAAACACCTGTTTGTTTACCACACAAAATGTGAATGCACTGCACGGCAACTATAACACCTTAAAATGCAGGCTTGTAAATAAAATAATTACTCAAAATAATTCTGCTTGATTTGGGTCATTTATTTATTAAATTTAAATATACATGTTTCTGTGTTTTCAATTTGAATGAGATTGAACAATGGCCATAAAAATTGAAGGGATTCAGATAATATTCACCGCTTTTACAACACCGTAGATCCAGGGAAATAGACTCACTATGCATTTCTTTATTTTCTAGATGTGCGGATTGCATTACTCGTTTTAAACTACACAGATCTTGTTTGGAAGAAGCTAGAAAAATTATGGAATATGGCTGAGGTGAAAGCTTGTGTGGATGGGGGTGCCAATCAACTTTATGAGTGTGCTCAAAAAGAAGCATACAAGTGAGTATAAATATTCAGGTTATTTGATGAGTGCAGAGGCAGCGGCACAAAACTTTGCATGGGGTGGGGGCGGTGCCTGCTCACCAACCTCCCACCCAAGGCTAGGGGGTCCAGGGGCATGCTCTCCCTTAAAATTTTGAAATCTAGACCCTCTGAAAAGCTATTTTCTGTATTTTGCTGACACAAAGGGTTTCTTTTCGAGGGAGTGACCACCCCTCTGTCCCCCAGTGCCACCGCCACTGGAGTGGTTATTAGTCAGAGTTAACTTCATTCACAAAGTAATTAGTTTTGTTATACCATGTGATCCCAAATTATCACTGTGGAATAATGCATTAAAATGGGAAAAATATTGAATAATGAAATTTGGTTGTTTGTGAAAAAATATGGCAAGTAACTATTTCACTGTTTCACACATTACATCATTGGAAATGGTTGTGCCTAGCATGGTTGTATGCAATTAATAGTTTTCAGGATGATAGAAAAACACTGTATTGTGGTTGATTATTATTTTCCATAACATTTTCACAAGGTGCATTTCTTCCTCGTAGAATGTGTTGAACCAGGAACATCACTTGATTGCCGACAAATCTATTTAATTGATTTTTATTTCTGAAAATTTAACACTTTAGGAATTCTTGTGGTGTTTTATGGTCACAGTTTTTCTGGCTCATTAGAGTAGACCAAAATAATAACATAATGGTGACTAACATGCTGTGGTAAATATGACATCATAGAAAAGGTCAATAGACCATTTTCCGTACACTGCGAGAATCACGTGTTATGCGTGAAATCGAACGTAAAAACAGGACAAACAAAGGTCATAGCGTCGTAGTGGCGTCAAACATCGCGTGGGATTCGACAAACGCGAAAGTATTTCGGGGACATTTAAATGCTTAATAATGTGCTGTCCACATTTGATGATAGGCAATTTCGATTAAGTAAGGGTATTTGGAAGCAATATTCCTCTGTCGAAGATCGGCCGGTCGGTGTGAGCTACGAAATAAAGAAATTCGAGTTCAAAATCAAATCGTTCGATTTTTGCGGCAGACGTTCGACGCGCGACTTTCATGCATCTCGCGAGATCTCGCAATTGTACGGAAAATCACCTATTAGGGATTTATGCTAGCATTTTTGATAGGTACAAGTAATCTATTATATTACAGTATATTCTATTCTATTCTATATTCTATTCTATTCTATATTCTATATTCTATTCTATTCTATTCTATTCTATTCTATTCTATTCTATTCTAGTTCTAGTCTAGTCTAGTCTAGTCTAGTCTAGTCTAGTCTAGTCTAGTCTAGTCTAGTCTATTCTAGTCTAGTCTAGTCTAGTCTAGTCTAGTCTAGTCTAGTCTAGTCTATTCTTGACGTTAAATATCACTGTTTATTACTTCCATGTAGGTTCATTCCTGATATTATCGCTGGTGATATGGACTCACTGAAAGATAAAGTGAAGGACTTCTACATTGAGAGAGTGAGTTTAATTTGATTTAATAGACCTTGTAAAATCTTGAAAAGTCAGTCTTTTCACACTTATTAATGTGCTATACAATTTGATGATGATGTTATTTAAAGGGCGGCAGTCGCTGTGCCGCGTCCTGTTCGATATGGGACTCATAGCGACGTATAAAATGCGTGCAAAATACATTGTTTATTGACATGAAATTCGAACACGCGCTGCGCAACGACCACCGTGCTTTACATATGGGTAACTCATTTCTATATTCAGAAATTCAGCCATAAACAGAAATGAGCTTATGCAGTGAACAGAAAATCAAACAATGTATGATTGTATAAACATTTTAACATCTAAACACCGAAAGAAATAAGTAAATCTTCAGTGAATGTGTCTTGCGTGACATCTATTTCTGAATAAAATGATGAAATACATTTACAAAATTATCTGTATTTGTCCCTCAGCACTTATGAATCAGTAAAACCATGTATGATAAAAAGGTTATTAAATGATAATTCCTGAGAAATTGTATGATAAAATATAAATGGTCTTAATATTTTGACAGTCACAAAATTAGTAAATACATAAATTTTTCACTGCTACTGTAGAATACTTTATTTTCGCTTGGAATTTATTTTCGCTATTTTCGCTGAAAGGATGATTCTGTGAAAATAAAATCCAGCGAATATACATTTTTTCCTATATTTCTATATAAACTCATCAAAAATCAGTGAAAATGTATTCCATACAAAACATCTAAAAAGCCTTTTCAGCGAAAATTAATTCCAGCGAAAATAAAGTATTCCACTGTATTTTTACTGATAAGTAAACTCCGCTAAATTAAATCTATGTGAACGTGTAAAATAACAATAAAACTCATTGTTTCCTTGACAAATTAAATCAAAAAATCAAGAGAACATCTATTTGTAGATCTGTGCATGTTAAGTACTCAAATAAATAAAGCTAACATTTTATTTCAGGGTAGTGTTATGGTAAACACTCCGGATCAAAATGAAACTGACTTCACTAAATGTATTCGGATTATTATTGAGAATATTAAGGACCAAAATTTGAAGGTAATATCAAATGATTTTTCCCTGGAAATGTAATCTTTTAAAATTTATGGTATTGTGTCCCTTTCATCCGTCAGGACCCATTACTTGAAAATGCATTAAAAGCCATTCTAGTACTTTTTTAGGGATATAGGTCAATTATCCTGGTACTTTCTAGGGTAAAGGTCACACATTTTGGTATTTTATGGGGTATAGGTCATGCATCCTGAGACTTTCTGGGGTATAGTTCAAACATCCTGGTACTTTCTTGGGTAAAGGTCACACATTTTGGTATTTTATGGGGTACACATTCTGGGGATATTGTTCTCGTATAACTGATTACACCAATAAATTCTAATATTGTATTATATGCTTTCATATATTGTTAAATTCACTCTTTTAGCAAAATATATTACAAGAAAAAATTTTTTCACTAGATTTAATTTTTGGTGATTTCAGCAAAAATAGTGACAATAGTCTTTATGTTTCCAGTTTATTTTATTATGTAAAGTAATTTCTTTCCAAAAAAAACAAGTGATTCAGTTAACTTAGTTTAAGTTTGTATTGCTTTATAGGTTGATTGTATTGTTGTAGTGAGTGCTTTTGGTGGAAGACTAGACCACACATTTGCCAATATCAACACACTGTATCTGGCTTCAGAGCTTACTCATTTACCAGTGTATCTGATGGGAGAAGAGAATATAGCTTTTCTCTTACAATCTGTGAGTACAAACAAACAAGCAAACAAACAAACAAACAAACAAATAAATAAATAAATAAATAAATCATGTACAAATGAATAAAAAGTATGAATGAATGAATGAATAAACAAATTTCACTCTTCAGCTGGAAACCTGGAGTCAATGCAAAGTTACATGCAAGAGTGTACCTGATTGGCTACCCATCCTTAACATCTATTAGTCAGACCAATCAGATCGCAGCTTGTATATTGTTTTTTTTTCAATGAATCAAATTCTACCTTGTATATACCGATATGCTCTGACTCAACTAGAATGCTGAGCCTCACAGTTTTTTCCCACAAGTTGGCATACCATTGAAGTGTGTATTAAACTTTACAATAGAGAGATGCTGCATTGTTCGAGTTACGGACATCGAGTTACAAAAACATTGACCTCAAACTCTGACCTCAAACCCTGCATGCTTCCAAGGAGAAGTTTCTGAGCTAGAAACTAGGACAAGGAGAGTCTGATGTAACCCTCTGAACTTTGAACCTTGCTGACACTGCCCCAAATTGCTAGGCCATGACAGATGAACCCTGGATGCAAAGGGTGGGAACAGTGCTGTGCACACCATCTCTCACCTTAAATAAGCTGCTTATGCCGATCAAAACCAATTGAGAAAGATATGTTACTTTAATCCTTGAATTCAAAAGAATATATTTAATAAATGTTGAACATAGATCTTGTTGTTGAAGTATTGAATAATCTCAACATTTCATACGCTATAACTTTTCCTGTCAAAGTTTGGTTCAATATTTTGCAAATTTGTATTATTAGTATTACTTATGTTTTGACCTCAGTGTGTCCGTGCGTGCGTGCATGCGTGCGTGCATCTGTGTGTGCGTCCGGACCTGTATCTTAAAAATGCCTGGACCAATCAGAATCAAACTTCACACATACATACATCATACATGATATTATACATATGCACGTCAATTTGTTTCACGATCTGATTCAAGATGGCCGAATGGCGGCCATTTTTGTGCTAAAAATCCTAAAAATCAACCATTTCTCGGCTGTTTACAGATGGATTTTGTTCAAACTTGGTATATACATTAGACATTATGGGACCTTGATGCAAATAATTTTGTTTTTCAGATAAGATTCAAAATGGCCGACTGGCGGCCATTTTGTATTAATGAATTTGGTTCTCGTGCCATATCTCTGACTTGCTTTCACTGATTATGTTCAAATTTTAAATATTCATTATACATCATGTCATAGATAGACAGATATATTGGTTTGACGATCCTATTCAAAATGGCCAAATGGTGGCCTTTTTTGTGCTACAATCATCAAATATCAAGCATTTCTGGATGGATTTCGTTCAAACTTGGTATATACATTAGACATTACTGGTTCGTGATGCTCGTCATTTTATTTTTCAGATTGGATTCAAAATGGCTGACTGGCGGCCATTTTGTTTTAATGATTGGGCATCTAGAGCCATCTCTTAAATGCTTTTACTTATTATATTTAAATTTTATATATACGTTTTACATCATGTTATATATATACATGTATTCAAAATGGCTGATTTTGAATGCTGTTCCACAGCAATATCTCTCAATATGGACAAGTACTTGTTTGACGATCAGATACAAATGTCAATCATTTTAATGTTAACAAGTCATGAATGACACTGCCTTCGCTAGTTGTCATTCTAAAGTTGCATGGACATAAATTGGCAAACATGATTTCTATGGCATTTTCAAGTTTATAGCACTCTCCATCCAGGTCAGCATTATTCTCAGCAAGGAAACCAGATAGCACGAAACCAGTACAACAGGTAAAATGACAAGGAAGTATACAAATCAGATCTGCAAATATGTCAGTCAGTGTTGTGTCTGTTTGGATAAACTAGTTTGTGGCCCTGGATCAGTTTCAATATCTCTAATAAGGACAAGATTACTTCTCATACGACAATGATACAAATAAAGTGCAAAAATCCAGAAGAATATTATCAAGTTTTTATTATCATACATTAATATTAACAAATCGTGTGAAATTTTATATAACAGAGAAAACCACATATTTATGCTTTGGTTG